AAAAGATAAACGAATGAATGAATTATATACAATAGTTTAAAACATCATATAATACAAAAAAGTATGATTAAAAAGATCATGAATCAGCATGCATGCAGCACGAATGGATCGGCTCAACCTGTAATTTATCTTGTCGTAACCAGCCTGAAAAAGAAGCAAATTGGTGTTTTTCTTGTGGTAAGTGTCAAGCACCGGACATGTGCGTTTTAATTATTAATCAAAAATAAATCACAGTGCATAGGAGACAAGTATATAAAATGAAAGTTAAACAATATCATAATCATTACCAATATAATGCCGACTTAGAATTTATCTATAATTTGATTTTAAATTAAAAAGATATTGTTATTTTCAAATATACATTATCTATAATGTTAGTCAAAGTTTTATACAATAACATCTAATACAAAGGACACGGAGAGTAGAAAATCTACTTAATTTAAGTAATATACCGGCTGGAAGGTCGCTCAAAATAGCAAGACTTCATAAATCTTTAGTATGGGTCGTAAGATTAATAAGACAGGTCTGCTGGTCGGCCAACAGCTGCTGTTATTTATTTAATATAAAGCGGTGTAGGAGCCAATGGCGTTATTATGTAATATATTTTGTTTCTCGCGAAATTATGTCAGCAGAACTGATTTTAATCAATTTCACTTTAGTTATTTCGTGTATTTTTCCGATTGCTGCGAGATATGTATGCCATGATTATTTATTATTTAACTGTCAGTGAGACGTTCTATTTATAAATGAAGCGTTTTTAAGTTGATTTTTTATTCAGGTTTAAATTGTGACGATAGAAATTTCTTTTGAAGCTAGTGTATACTCGTATGGTTCAAATAAAAGCTTTGTGTAAAGCACATAGTAGCTCTCTCGCCGGCCGTCTTCATAGTGTACAAATTAAAAGTACATTAAAAGAACTAAATACATTAGTCCAAATTTAATAAATGATAATTTATTAATTTAGTAGATGATAAAATTTTATTTATCATACAGTTTTAGGTAAGATTGGACGAATTTAATCTATAATAATTAAAATTTCTAAAGTAGAAGAAACAGATTACAAAGTGGCAAGATCAGGTTTTAGGAAGTTTTTTTTTCTATCTAGGAGATTATTTTGTGTTGAAACCATCTTTTTATCTACGTCTGCTGCCGTCATATAGCAACGCTTGCATTTCATTGTTTTGGTATAACATTATTCGTAACAACTGTAAAACTCACATTTTGCAATAAATAAATAAAAATTGTTAATTCATTACAGGCTTTGAGGTATTCCATCCCAGTCCTCAATGGTCACAAATTGTCATTAACAATGCGTCCTTAGTTTCATTTGTTTGAATTTGATGACAGGCGTCCATGGACTGCTAAAGCTACTTAACATCAGGTGGACTGTTGGTTCGTTTGTTACTTCAGTTTTATAAAAAAAGACTGCTATTGAAATTTTGTTGCCAGGAAAATCTTATAAGAGAATTTGAGTTCGAATCAGCATTCGCACATACGACCATCGGCCCAACGAGGTAGGCAATATTTATGTTTGTGTTAAATTCTTTATTAGTATAATTGGGATTGTAGCAATTCGTTTTTAAAACGGCTGCAAGATACAGTCTTACTTTAAAAAAAGAAACAATTAAACTTGAAGAAAAGTTGGTCATGTAGGATGAATGAGGAAAGAGTGACAAAGCAAATTTATGTTGCAAAAGTGAATGGAAGAGTCGGAAAGGGACGTCCTAGGTGAAAGCGTATCGATCAAATTGGCTATATATTAAAAATGGCCGTATAAGGAGTACCCTAAACCGACGAGCATATATGCGTAGGTATATGAATGTGGAGGAGGCAAGAGAGGTGTGTCAGGATCGTACCAAATGGGAGTCTGTAGTCACTGCCTACCCCTCTGGGTGACTGGCGTGAGTATTTATGTATGTATTGTGTGTATGTATATAAAAAGTTTTTCTTTTAGCTGTGTATTTTCATTTTTTTTATTGTTATGTGGCTTCCTCGTATTCACAGAAATACTATGTGTCTTTTTCACGAGGTTCAGCGAGATTTTTCCCTTCACTTTGATAGTCTTTAATATTCAAAGAACTTCTTCTGTCATAACAGTTACAGCAAAGCATATGAGAAAATAATAAATAAAACAATGTTTACTTAAAATAAGCAGTAATATTTACGTATATTGGCATAATATTTGTTGTCTTTTAACACCATTTCTATAAAAGGATTTTTTTTTGTGAAATGATGTGACAAACGAACCATTTGATGGTCACTGAGTGCTGTAGCACATGTACATCTGCAACCAACTTTTAATTGAATGAAACTCTGCATTACATACAGGTTTTTTTATTGGATGGGGTGACAAACGAGCACACAATCCACCTGATGGTAAGTGGTTGCTGTGGCCCATAGACATCAACATCTATTCTCGATTACAAATCAAAATGCAGATGCGTTGTCACCCGTGAGGACTAAGGTGGAATGCCTCATTTCCAGTAAAAAGGGTCTCTAGTTATTTGCACTCACCATACGAAACACAGCAGCATTAAGGTACTATTTGAAGCTGGTATTAAAAAAGATAAATGAATGAATTAATTATATACAGTAGTATAAAATATCATATAATACAAAAAAGAATGATTAAAAAGGGCATAACTGAACATACCTGCAGCACGAATGGATCGGCTCAACTGTATGGTTACGACAGGATACCAGCCTGAAAACAGCACATTGGTGTTTTAGTATGGCAAGTGTCAAGCACCGGGCATGTGCGTTTTAATTCTTAATCGAAAATAAGTCATAGTGCATAGAAGAAAAGTATATAAAATTAATGTTAAACATAATATTATAATCATCACCAATATAAAGCCGCGTATCGATTACGATATTTAATCCATAATTAATATAATTGATGTTTAAAATATAAGTACAAACCGACTGCAAAACTAAAATATATTTCCACATGATAGCTTATGAAGTACCTACTTCGACTCGCTCAGATATATTATATCGAAATATTAAAGCTCCTACTATGGGAGAATTGTGTATTTATTATTTTTCTTTAGTATATACTTTTTTAATTTTACTTTTTTTACCTTTTAATGTGTAACAAACAACAACAATTATTAAAAATCAAATGCGGATGCGGTGTTACCACTGAAGACTAAGATGAAAGGCGTCGTTACCAGTAAAAAAGCACTTAATTTTTCTAAAAAAATTGCGTATTACACAAATGACTATTATATCTTAAGGATTGACTCAACAAGAGCAGGTATAATTTGTAAATGGATATTTATTTCAGAACAATACATTATTATTTATACGTAAAAATATTATGAAAAAAAAAACATCTTCATAAAAGGCCTAATAACGCTTTAAAGTTAACATTTATGATACGCTTATTGTATCTTATATCTCAGGCAAAACCTTCACAACAAAGGAGTCAAAAATGTTGGCCCATTAGATAATGATTTTCTTTTTAGAAGAGCTTTATATTTTTTCTTGAGATGTCCTTAATGGATTATTAAATTTTTACTTTGATTACTACAGCTCAACAATTCATTCAATAGTTAATAAATGTTCTAAGTCACCATCATAACTACAGACAATATCATTACCACAGCCCATAACAAGTCTAATGGTAATAGAGACTTTCTTCAATGAAAACTATATGAGCCACCTATTAAAGATCCATATTCCTACAGGACGAGAACTATCTTGAGTATTCCTCCCACTCAAAAAGTTTAAAAATTAAAACTTTTAAAGACAGTAAAATCAATATGCTAAGACATAATTTATAGAATAATTAAAGCCTGGAATTCAGAAATTGTTTAAAAGTTTTTAACTTTTCAAGAAAAGTTTTTTATAAGTTTTTTGTACTATTGGCTCTACAGCCAAACAGATTAGCTACATCTTGAAGTGAGCTTTCCTTTAAGATTACCACAAGCTCGCGAAGAAGATTAGTCAGTTTTTACCATCGGTCAGGTTCAATATCCCTCTACAAGATATAGGAGTGTACGAGCTAGACTATGAATATGGTCTCGCGTGTAAAGGACAAAGAAAAAGATCTATAAAATTCCGTGTAAAAGAACATATAGCTGACGTGAAGTATCGACGTTCCAGGAAGTCTGCAGTCTGTGATCATGTTCAAAATTGACCATGCCATTCCATTAGATTTGATAGACTACAAGTCCTCGTAAAATAACACTGATTCCTATGATGATTAGCGAGGCTATTGAAATTAAAAAAACATCATAATTTCAATAGAGAAGATCGACCATCTGCTTGGGATCTTATAATTAATTAAATTAAATCAAAACCCATTCATGGTACTAAAATATTTTCAGATACTGTAAGCTCATTCTGCGGAGAACGTACCAAAAATTAATATTCAAAAACTGAAGGTTGCTGGGCTAACTATGACATTGGGACGTCAAGCACCTCAGTCCCCTCCGTAACCATGGGTGCGGTAAAGTACCCAAAATGTCGGGAATTAAAAAGTTTAATTAAACACGATAAAATTAGTTTAATTTAATGTATACATAGTATTCGCGTTAATATAAGAAATCATTATTTCTTCTGTGTTTCTCATGGAATAATTTTCCAGCGTCTGGCTTTCCATCCAATTAAAGAGTATGTGTCTTCAAGACGGGTGAATAGGCCTTTGTTAAGATAAGTAAGTTCACTTTACCTGTTCAGCTGAATCACCACTTCTTCAGGAGAAATCGTAATCAGGCATTGTAAATTAAAATATATTTACTATATTTCCATTTAAATCTTATTTTATGTAGCTTCGAGATAAATCTTCATCTCGGAGAATGTCTTGAGAATTATTTGTAGAAAGGGTATCACTCAGCTAACTTTTATATTATTTTTAATATTATATTAATTATTACTCATAAAAATTCTGTAGCTTTGAAAATAATACTGTGTGTATTTCTCATAAATAAACTTGCTATTACGTTTTTCTTTATAATATTGGAGGGAACAGCTGTCTCTTCTGGCATTGAGCCATGGGATCACTTGAGCCCAATTATGTATTTGGTAACAAAATATGTTGAACTGAAACAATATATTGAATTCATAAGCTTATGTTTGGATGATAATGATGATGATAATGAAAGGGATATCGAATGTTGTAATATTCTTAAACAATAAATTATATCGAAAACGTACGTGGAAAATATTCCAAATTGAACGAAGCAAGTAAGTACAGTCCAAGGCAAAAGTGGCTATCGGAACATGGGCACGGTCTGATCCCCCACTGATTCTAAAATTGAGGGCTTGCCATTTGTTCCCTCTTGTTTTCACGACTGTGCTTCAATCACTAGATTTGTAACCTGTAACGTTAGTTGTTTATAAAGACAGTCATATTTTTGATTGCAATTATTTAGAATCGGGATTAGTCCTTAAATATTTCAAAAAATCCCTAGACAACTATATTTTGTATTTAATGCAATTTTGAAATAGAACAAGGATGTAAAATGAGCACACAGTCACCTGACCGTGATTGGATGTTCTCTCTGGCTGTGATGATTTCCGTTGTTTTTTGCATCACGACGAGACTCACTTGATGGTAAGTGACTACCACCGCTCACAATCAAATTCAATACCAAGGGAATCACAAGTGCATACCGCCTTTTAAAATAGAGCAGCTTCTTTCCTTAAAAGTCCATTAGTTTTAATCACCTATTCATCCACTCTTTACACCCTATGGAAGTCCACAGCTGAACATAGGCCTCCCCATATTGATTGCCTCATAACGGGATTTTGCCATTATAACCACGTTTTTCAGAGGGATAATAATAAAAAAACTATGGTTGCCATCTTAGTCGTTTTCATTATTTTGAGCTATCACATTTTACAATGTATCACTATCATATTACATAAAAATGCCCGGTCCCTATGGTAGGAAAGTAGGAAGATAAGAAAGCTAAGTAAGTCATATCGATCCGGAAAACATGGATGTCACAAAGAAGTTGTACAAAGAAGCTCTTAATAATTTATCTCCTTTTTTACAAAATAACCAGTCAAATTATAAAGCCATTGTTACACAAGTGTATACGACATTTAACGCGAGAAATTAAAAAGCGGTAGACCACAGAAGCAATATCAGTCTTATTTATGGTCAGAGCTCTGTGTCGTCTTCAAGAACGAAAAAAAACATATATATACATAATATGTGACAATGCTTAGCAATGAGTAGCAGTGCTAAGAGTCGTGATTTCGAATCCCGCAAATAAACGAAATAAATATTTGTATCTGCGACAAATAATTTTCCGGGTCTGTACTCTATATGTTTATCCTTGTAAAATTTATGGATGTTAGCTGCATCCACGTATTTAAAAAAGCGATCTCCATCCACCATCTCTCATTATTTATATAGGTACCCACTGATCTGTTCCTTCCAGGCGCCGCTTCAGTACATTGTGACATTCACTAAGCTACTTATTAAAGACCTCACTCACACATGCTTACTGTTTATCCAACATACAACAAAAGTGCATTACAATATTGCTCTAACATTCACAGATTACGCCAGGCAAAGTGGCAGTACAATCTGCCACTTTGCCTGGCGTATGTGAGACTATGAGAAAGCCTTTGATTCCGTCGAAATTTGGGCGGTGCTACACTCACTTCAGCAGTGCCTAGTTGGCTGTCGGTATATCAAAGTGCTGAAGTGTTTGTACAGTAGGGCTACGGTGGCTATCCGAGTACAGAACCAGCGGCTGCAGTCTCGACATAGATAACGATCACTTTACAACCAATATTTGTTGTTAAGTCATAATAATCCGAATATGACGATTTTTGGTAGTCTGTACTGTCAAAGCGATCGGTACCGATCGTAAACTTTACAATTATTTGTTATGTTTGCTATTATTTTAACAACCATTTTTGACAGCCCGCTAAGTGTTTTACGTTACGATCATAAGTTGTTTCACAGTTTTATAAATAATCTTTATCTATTATAATATAAGGTTATAATAAAAGTATTAAGTAATTATGGCGGAATCGTATTTAGCATGGGATTTGTCAGAACTAGAACACAGGCGTGTTATGGTTATGCGGCGGCAAATCGCACGAAACCGGCGTGAAAGTGAAAATCCCTTAGATTTAGACGATAGTGAATTCTTGTACCTTTACAGAATTACAAAAAATATGTTTAGCGAGCTCGTAGGTGAACTTCGGTCATCTCTTCAAAAACAACGGCCTTACGGACTTTCTGTGGAGTCCCAAGTGAGTGTCATCATGTAATAATAAACCCCTAAACACTTACTCTTTTTCGTTTGTATTAACTCTTAGTTTCATTTTCTTCTAAATAGATACTGACGGCACTTCGATTTTATGCAAGTGGGTGCTATCAGCTACCTGTTGGCCTGCAGTGGGGTTGCAGCATGAGCCAAAAATCGGTTAGCCGAGTTATACATGCTGTAACCGAGGCTATTAATGAAAAATTATTGAGAAAATTTATAAAATTCCCTATGACCCATGATGAGCGGCGAGCAGCTAAAGAAAAATTTAGGAATGCCCCACAACCATTTCCTGATGCGATAGGAGCTATAGACTGCACACACATAAAAATTCTAGCTCCAAAAATTCATGAAGAGGCATATGTGAGTGGTCACCATGAGGGCCATTCATTAAATGTACAAGTTGTAAGTTTATCTTCAGTAATTATTGTTTACCTATTTACTTGCTAATTAAGATTTTGGGAGCAGTGCTGAAGCATATTAAAATAACTAAATATGGGTCGATGACATTTATTACTATTACATTATTACATTACAATAATGTATTAAAACTATTTCAGTGCAATACTGACATCCTTAACTAAGTGATTACATTACTATGATGAGAATTATAATAAATTATTTATCAATACTTGTACTAAAAGCAAGGGCTTTTATAAGATGGCCAAAATAAGTCTGTTGAGTGAAAGTATGAGGATGACACCTTGGTTTGACCAGCAATAACAATTATACAGTGGAGTCAGCGTCTTCTGTAACATGTTTTCAGTAATCCAATATCGAAATTCATAATTCATGGTCAACATGTTATTGTAAAATTATGGCTACTTGCAATTGAAGGGATAAGTGGACAAAGATGTTAACTAACAAATAGTTCCAAAAGTAAATTAGTAATTAAATCTTAGTTTTACAATACAGTATTAGTACCAATACTTAGATAAGATTAATTATTATATATATATTATATTAAAAATAGGTTATTCTATGCAAATTTATTAATAAACAATGAAAATGTGAGCATATCACCTTTGTTTACTATAAACCATATTAAGTTTTGTTAAGAAGAACTTATAACGGTTCTATGTGGTAAAAAAAATTAAATACTTACCATTATTTATATGAAATAGTTTTATTATTAAAAAAATTATGATTTTTACAAGGCTATTTATTAATTATTGAGATTTTTAGAATAATAATGTAAAACCACTGAGACTGAGACCTTTCCACCAGTCTTCTTTCCAGTGCCAAAATAAGACCTATGCCCAACTCTATTAATGATATGGATACCTTCATTATAAAACCATACTTTCCTCAAATAAAATGCTTTGATATGGGGATTTCAGGTAGAGGCTGAGTCTGTTGCATGTCAAAATATATGTTATATCTTGTTCACTAACACCCATCTCTTTTTCTTGTTTTTGTAACTCAAATGCTCTTTTATAGTCATCAATATGGTCTTCAGTGTGTGTATTTGAATCACATTTGTTACACACACTGTTCTAGGCTGTTTAAATGATATGTTGAAAATTTGTATTGAATATATTGCTATAAGCGCAATCCTTGATGAGATTGATTTGGTAGTTTTCTTTTTTCCCCTACATTTTTAAATATGCATTGAATACATCTTTTTACAAGAAAGTAATGGATTTTAATACTGTTTGTAGATATTTTGAGTACAAAAATAATGAGAACTTTCAGATGGAAAACTTCCAATATATTATTATAGATTACATATGTAATTTTCTACATAAATTTGTTTTAAGTAATAAGTATGAGTTTTACCCCATTATACTTTGAGCGCTGTCACGTCATTTAATTTAATTTTTGATTAAATGGCTGTTACTTTTCTATAAGCAATTTGAAACATATTGGAAAATACAGTCTTACAAACTTTTATGTTGGTACCATCATTAGGTAGAATACGGATATAAGTTGTGCTTCTTTTCCTTTTTTGGTTTGTTAGTGCTCTTCTGACATTTCCGGATGTGATGAATTTCGGGAGATACATTTTTTTTCAGTGTTACTTTTAAGCTATAGTATTGAGAAAAGAGGTCAAAACCACAAAACTTTTCATAGCACTTGTAATTGAATGTTGCTATGCATTATATGCTTGTCCTTAGGTTTTTCTTTACCATATTTTTACCGCCTATGTCCACTTAGCCCTTCAATTATCATGTTGATGAGTAATCTAATATCAAAAGCTTAGTCAAAACAATGTGGGATCAACAGGTATTAAGGCTATTTCCAGCCTGCATAAATTGCTTAAAACCATGAAGTATCTTCTCCTTATTATTGATAGTAAAAAGTGTTATTGGATACATTTCACTGAGCAGTTTAAGTGAAAAAGTTTAAATTATACTCATTAGTCTTAAGGGCTTAGATTATATTTTTATTGCACCTAGTTACACTCCAGAACATCATCAATAATAAATAAATCTATTTATTATTTATTAGCACAAAAAAGTACACTCCTAACTAAGTTTATTTTAAATTATTTTAGGTGTGTGACCCAGACCTGTTAATTTTGAACATCAATGCTAAATGGCCAGGAGCTAGACACGACGCTCACATATGGGCAAATTCAGCTGTACGCTCCACCATGAAGCGACATTTTGACAATGGGGATCGCCGTACATGGTTACTTGGTAAGTTAAAGACCAAGGTTACTAGAACCGAATGTTTGTAAGACTGCCAAATGTATATTCAATGTTAAAACTTTTAGGTGATGATGGATATCCTCTGGAGCCATGGTTGATGACCCCAATAAAAAATCAACACCTTGGGACACCGGAGCGTAGATACACTGATGCTCATGGTTCAGCCAGAAACACCATAGAAAGATGCTTTGGTGTGCTAAAGTCTGTTTTTAGGTGTCTGTCTCATCAACGCCAGTTAATGTATGAGCCATATACTGCTGGCCTTATAGTAAATGCATGTGCAGTGCTACACAACATGCGTGTTAAATATAGATTGATGGAACCATATGTCACCACATACACAGAAATCATTGCTGATAGCTATAACGATGATTACTTGGAAGATACAGGTAATAATGTTGTTTAGGTAATATTAAATTAGACTATGTTGCTTTTGTAATGTTAGAATAATTTTAAAATTTTATGTTGTAATTACAGAACGAGTAACTGGCACTGGGCGAGCTGTTGCAGAGCGTATACAAAGAAGACTCATAAATACTGCTTACACTTAATTATCTATAGTTTTCTGTTATATTAGTAATAATGTAATTTTAGTAATGATGTGTATAGTAAATGTTTTCATATTATTTGTATAAAGTAATATATTGTAAATTGAATTTATTAAAAAAAAAGTCCCGCTGGGTTTCTTGCTGGTTCTTCCGAGGACAGAGGTATTCTTCGAACCAGTGGTAAACGTAAAAAATTACTAAAAAAATCTATATTGCATAAAAATGATTCTATTCTATTAAGTGAATTGAAATAAAACATTAAACATATTAATTTATTTATTATTTTTAATAACAAGCAAATCTCCAATTTTGTCAACAGCCTGAGCTAATAAATGAAATGCCTCGGCCTGAACTTTTGCTGCCTCCGCCTGCATTCTGGCAGCCTCGGCCTGAATGTTGGCAGCCTCTGCCAGCATCTGTAATGAAAACTATAGATAGATCGAGAAATGCTTGCTAATTCTCTCTAGCATGCTAGTGAATCTTTAGGATAATGTATGCTGTAGCTTATAATATCTATTGACAGATCAACAATAGTTTACATTTTTTTTTAACAAAATAAGCCACACGAGCATCTGATGTTTTGACTTGACGCATGTCTATGTCTACATCTCCCCCCCACCCCCACTAAGAATCTAAATGCAGATGCATTGTCACCCCCGAGGACTAAAATGGAATGCCTCATTACCAGTCAAGGGTTTAGGTTAGGGTCTCCGGTTCACTCCACTTATTGTGGTTATAGGCGTGGTGCTTCCCCAGTCGAGCCGGCCCCTTGCTACGACTATACTACTAACATAACTGCAGCATGGCTCTACCACGTAAAAATATATTGATTTTTTCTTCTGTTTAGTTCAGAATGTAGATGTGATGTTATAACATACCCTCATTGAATCTGCATTAGATTTTGCAACTGCCAGGAAATCCTCCCGAGCTATATTCGCTTGCTCGGCAGTAGATCGGCGAGGATTCAGATCTAAAAATACCCAAAATTTATTGTATTGTAATTAAAATAATTTTTTGGCTTTATTCTGCTCAAGCTGATCATCTTGTGAACTAATGTTTATATTATTAGCACTTAATTGAAATTTAAGCTTACTCCTTATCCTTCTGGGCCTCTCCTGTCGTACAGTGGGTGGTGTTGTGATGAGAGCTGCTGCACTGCTGCCTCTCTCTGCTGAAGTAATGAAATAATACACATAAAATGATCACAATTTTAATTTAATAGTATAAAGGTGAATATTTGCAAAGATTTTTGTTTGTTTATTAATCACACTAAAACAGCGGAAGATCTATATAAAATTTGGCACATAGACCATTTTATCTTGAAATAGTGGATAAAACAGCGGAGCACAAATATATAATGTATGTAAATAAGAATTATATAAATAACAAAGATCTAACTTACTTATTTGTGGTGCTGCTGACTGCAGAGTTACTTCTTGCACCTGTTGCTGATTGGGTGCTGGTGAAGCAACAGGTGTGGCTCTGCTGCCACTTGCTACTGAAATAATCAAATACATTAAACATATTAGTGAAATATTACCACATAGAGAGGTATGAATGTAGGTGTAATAAAAATAACAAACTTACTAATTTGTGGTGCTGGCGATGCTTTGTTTCTCTCAGTCTCAAGCAACTGGCATTCATTATCTGTAATTAAAATTTGTGTTTTAATACATTGTAGGTAAATACATTTAAATTGCAACAGTATTTACATAATATTTTTAATATATCTTAAAAACTTACCTTGAGACAAACAAACAACTTCTACCATTTCTACCCCAGCCTCCACCTCATGTTGTAATGTCTATAAAAATTAGTACAACTATTTATTATTGTAAATTGCATTAAAACCAAAAACTATGTTTATGAAGTTTGATTAAGTATATGAAATTGTATATGTGATTATTAATAGTATATATTACACACTACTGAACTCACTTCTTCCTCTGGCATAGAGTCAGGGCAGTCGCTGCCAAATGTGTATTCAACACCTATTAGCGACACAATTTTTTTTTTCCACCTCAGTCAGTGGAGCAGTGGTGATGCCTTGGTTGCCGGTCCGCATTCTTTCTCGTTTTAATTTTGCCGCTTTAGTGCAGGCCCGGCATTTGAAGTCTCTCCATACCTACAAAATAAATAATTATGCATTTTAAGTAAATATTAGGTACACTGGCGCTGCATAATGTGCTGGCCGATTTATGTATAAGCCATTAGTAGTAAATCAGAAAAATTCTTTAGTAGAAACTTAACTGTTATCCACTGCTCAGGCGTCTTGACGGATCCGTTGGGAAGCTGGTTGAGCTCGTCGGCAACTTCCCTCCAGCCCTTTTCAAAAAATTCCTTGCCGTGCAGGCCACTAAATTTTCTTGTGTACAAATGTGGACTAGCTTCCAGCTTGGACAATAATATCTCAAGCTGCCCACTCGTGACTCGAGATGTACGCTTACGTCTGAAACGTACATAGAAGTAAATATTCAAATTGTAAAAATTACAGTCTCTAAACAAACCATTCAATAAACAACGATAGATTCGAAATAGGTGTGCACATATAATTACAGTTATACTTTTCGGGTTGTACTTACTTAACGCAGCTCGAAACCGGGCCTGCGCCTGCGTCACTGTCCCCCACCATTGAAAATATACTATATTTACTATATAAACTATATTTTATATACTAAAATATATGATGTTTTATAAAATGCGTAGCTTATAATAAATGATATGTCTATGTAGGTAATGTCAGCGTTGTCAAACCGAGACAGACATGTAATAGTGTTGCAAGGAGGCAAACTTTTATGTCCTTTGATTTTTAACAAGTTAGTTCAATTCTTAGAAACGGTAAAAGCTACTTGTAAGGTTACATACAAAATATTTTTATAAGAAAAGGTTTTTTCTATTTCTGTACAATTTTCAAAGAAAAGCAATTATTTTTATAAAATTATGTCTGCAAATTTTCCCTATTATTTTTTAACAGCCAACATTTTTTTAAGATAACCCGCACTATGAATACGTTTTTCGTTAGCGTAACAACAACATAATTAACGATCTTGCACGGAATTTCGGCTGTAGAGACTTGCATTTATTGTAAGCATCGTTACGGCAAGCAATTATTGTGGTTATTATTTAGCGATCGGTAGTTTGCGATGGAGTCGCTATCTATGTCGAGACTGCAGCCGCAGAGTACGAAACCTATCCAACTGCCGAGAGGTGTAAGACAGGGTGATGTTATATTCCCGAAACTCTTAACCGCTGCGTTGGAAGACGTGTTCAAGCTACTGGACTGGAAAGGATACGGTATTATCATCAATGGCGAGTACATCACTCACCTTCGATTTGCCGACGATATAGTCCTTACGGCAGAATCGCTGGAGGACCTTAGCACTATGCTCAATGACCTCAATGGTGTCACCCAACGGATAGGTCTTAAGACTGATGAACATGGACAAAACAAAGATCATGTTTAATGTCCATGTCACACCTATGCCGGTAGTTGTTGGGAGCACTATGCTCGAAGTTGTTGACGAGTACGTTTACCTGGGACAAATAGTCTGACTAGGTAAGTCCAACTTCGACCGAGAGGTCAATCGACGGATTCAACTCGGCTGGGCAGCGTTCGAGAAATTACGACACATCTTCTCGTCAGGTATAACTCAATCTCTGAAAACTAAAGTGTATAACCAGTGCGTGTTGCCAGTGATGACTTACGGATCTGAGACGTGGTTCTTCACCGCTGGCCGTATGAGGACGCTCAAGGTCGCTCAGCGAGCTATGCAGAGGGCTATGCTCGGAGTTTCTGTGCATGATAGACTCAGAAATGAGGATATCCGTAGTAAAACCAGAGTGACGGACATAGCCCAACGGATTAGTAAGCAGAAGTGGCAATGGGCCGGCCATATAGCTCGAAGAACCGATAACCGATGGGGAAGAAAGGTTCTCGAGTGGCAGCCTCGTACCGGTAGGCGTAGTGTAGGGCGCCCCCCCCACTAGATGGAGTGACGACCTGGTAAGACATGCAGGAAGTCGATGGATGCAGGTGGCTTAGGACCGTGCTTTGTGGCATTACTTTGGGGAGGCCTATGTTCAGCAGTGGACTTGTGAAGGGCTGTAGTGATGATGATGATGATTCACAGATTATGGAATAAAAAGTTCCATTCCCTGTAGTACCACATCAGTGACAGAATCAATAACAACGTTGTGATCAACCCAAGGATAGGATACAAAAAAGATCGCATTCCGTCGCAATCGGCTGATCTATAATGCCAAGCACGGCGGCAACCTGCAGTACGCAACAGCGATTGGACCGTGAGTGGTGCCGTACTCCGGATCAGACATGGTTAATGGTTTGAGGAGCCATGAGGGGCATCTTTGGCGACCTGATATCCATCCGGAAGAGAGGTCAGCAAAATGTCCAACAGGGAATTTATATGATCTTCTACTTCTGCGATTCAATTATAGTCCTCGAGGATTTTTGTCCACCTGATGGTATGTGGTTGTTGTGTATCATAGACATCTAAATCTATTATTGATTACGTATTAAAATGCAGATGCGTTTTCACTGTGAGGAGTAAGATGAAACGCCTCGTTTCCAGTAAAATAGGTATCCGGTTCTCTACACTCATCAAACAAAACACAGCAGCGTTGAGCTGCTATTTACGCTTGTATTCTGTAAGAGCTTGAGCTAGCCCATTCGTGATACAACTATATTTCTAATTTATCTGCAGCATGGCTCTATCACGTAAAATGAAAAGGCAAACGCAGATGATGAAAACGCATTGGCAATTTCAATTTTAATCGATGATAAATGTAGATGTCTATGGCTTAGGGTATTCATTTACCATCAAGTGGACTGGTTTGTCACGCTTACTCTATAAAAAAACGCCATACCGGCTCTTAAAAAAAGGAGGCCCGTATTTAAACTGCAACTTTTATTTTGTACTTAAAAACAATAGAAGCCTATCGGCTTTGTGTAAAGTTAAAGTTTCATGATTTAGATACATGCCCCCAAACCTTCTATATTTATCTCACTTTTTATTACTCAAATGCGACCCGTAAGAACTTTTCCTACTCAAGTGCGACCCTTAAGGGTTTCGTAAATGAGTTTGATTCCATCCTATTACTACTTTCATAAGAAAACTATGAGAAATATTTCTTTCTTTCACAAGTTTTATGTAACTACACTTTTGATAAAAGTAATAGCCAAATTGCAGTTTTATTGTGGTTACGGTACAAATGGGTCGGCTCAACCGGTGTAGGACCATGTTCTTACAGAATGCCACTACTCTGCCAGCTGGCATTCTGCCAGCGTAAAATAGCAGCTTAATGCTTCTATGATTCGTATAGTGAGTGTAGAGAACCGGAGACCCTTTATACTGGAAATGAGGCATTCGATCTTAGTCCTCAGGGGTGACAACACATCTGCATTTTGATTTGTAGTCGAGGATGTGTATAATGTAGATATCTATGGGGCACAGCAACCACTTACCATCAGGTGGACTGTGTGCTCGTTTGTCACCCTCTCCTATATAAAAAATAATTAATTTAACAGAGTATAAGTAATTGCATATAATGTGGGTAGCCTATTTATTTTTTTATTTTTCTCTCTTTTTTCTTTAAAATTACTTTAGAAATCTTTATACGAGTTGTTTTTTATTTACCAATTTTTTATTAATACAAAACTGTAGACATTGTTTGCACACGTATTCTGTTAGAAAAAAACGGCTAATTCTGATGTAAGTCCATTTATATGTACACGTAGACGTACCTCAGAAGGGAAATCAGTCTTCAGTTCTTCAAGAGAGCGTTGAAGCTTTTCTGAAAAAATAGACCACCACACTTTTGCTTCATGCCTACGGAGTAGTCCCAACATAAAAGACGGAAATAATTCGTCAGTCGGAAAAAGATTAATTGGGGTTAAATTATTGTAGATATAATCTCGTCCAGACCGAATTTCTGTGACGGCGGTGGGTTTTGATGGAAATGAGCCATTTGCACAGGATAAAATTGGGTTTATTTTAAACAATATCAGGAAAGTGCACGATTATGCTAGCAAAGACAGGTGCAGTTTTTGTTCCCTAACTCTTAAAGTTTGACGAGACGTGGTGCAGGTGCAGTTTTTGTTCCTTGACTCTTAAAGTCCAACGAACAAAGAGAGATCAGATACGGCACCTACCAACTTCTTCATTTCAGGCTGCTATCTAGTATTTATTGACACAAAAAATCCATTGCGTAATTTTGTTCCGACCTGAATTGTAATCCGAGACCACATGATCAGCAGATGGGTTTACGACCACACTAGTTCAACGACACTTCATTATTCATCAGCTATTTGAAAAAGGGAAATTGCCCAAATATATACGTGGGTCATCTCGACTGGGAAAGAACGCGCGCTCTCACAGAATACTAGCATAAAATAGCAGCTTAATGGCTGCTGTGTTTCGTATGGTGAGTATGAGGAGCCGATAACCCCCTTCACTACAAACGAGGCATTTCATCCTAGAACTCGCGATACAACACAACATTTCTATTTTTATTCACAGTTGAGGATAGATGTAGATGTGCTAACGTGGTAGAGCCACGCTTTTGCTAAATCATAGTTGTATCACAAATGGGTCGGCTCGACCTGGGAAAGACCATGCTCTCACAGAATACCAGCGTCAAATAGCAGCTTAACGCTGCTGCGTTTCGTTTGGTGAGTGTAGAGAACCGGAGACCCTTTTTACTTGAAACAAGGCATTCCATATTAGTCTTCACGGATGAAAACGCATCTGCGTTTTAATTTGTTAACGATTGCTTAATATACTTCCATACGACTTTTGGTTGATTCATTTTTGTTGTATTAAAATCAATATTAAAATCATTTACCAAAATAGTATAATCGTAACCTGCGAAGGAACCTAACGACTCACCCAACGCATCAGGAATAATTGTATACTATGCCACTGGGGGTGCTAAGCAGTGCCTGTGATAAGGGATTTACCATTCATTTTAATACTTATCCACATTTGCTTCACCGTAGGATAAACAGGATGCTGAATAATTTGCGTAGTTAAACTCTGCCTCAAGTAAAAACCTACCTTACCACCGCGTGCACGGACTTCGGAAAGTCAGGATATGTGCCGCAGTCGATAACCTGGGACTGAAGGTGCACGGCGTTCCTCACTCTCCCGAAACGATGTTTCATTGATGACCATTATGTCCACTAAATGACGCGCCAAGGCAATAAAAATTCATCGTGTTTAGTGCCAAGATATTCAGAATTTAGTACACCAATTTTTAATTCATTAAACTTTCATTCATCATCATCATCATTTTTGCTAGGATTATCTACTTTTTCAACGATATAGCTAATTAATTCAATATAATAAGTGAACAAAACCTGATTATGATTTTATACAATAACGTCTAATATTACAATTTTAAAAGGTACATGAAGACTCTCTCTCTCTCTCTCTCTCTCTTTGTTTAATATACGGGCATCGTTTTTAAAATTAAGGCATTGCCGGTGGAACATATTCATACAATTAGAGAACTTTATCCAGTCTATTGTGGAGCAAATCTTCCGCAGACACCACACCTATCATTCTTATTAAGCTTCTATTTTACGTTGATATTCTGTGAGAGCGTGGTCTTTCC